AATAAAACATAAAAGAAGAATAAAAACTAATTTTTTACATATATTATTATTAATAAGAAGGATGCAACATGTAATTCAAATATATATAAATATTTAAATGTTATAAAAAATAATCAATCGTATAAGTAATGTTAACAAAAATTAATTATATGATTAGTCGTAGTTAACAAAAGTTAATTAAATTAATTTATTGAGATCTTGTCATTTTCAATAATTTCAGATATATGAGTTAGTTTGAAACTAAATCATTAATTATATCAAATAAATCATTAATTAAATTTCACTTTTTTATTAAGTCATCTTGTTTGCGAGGTCTTTTTCGAGTTTTTATTTTTAAAACCAATAAACTTATCATGCTTCAAGTATGTTATGAATTATATCAATTATATTTGGAGCATTAATAATTGACATATGTAATTTAATCTTATAATTAATTAACTAATTTTTATGATTGAATTATCTTTTGAATTTCTAGTTCACATATTTTGTACGAGGATCAAGATAATAATAATAATTCATTCCAAATAATATTGTTTTATTTATTGCTCTAATGTTGAAAAAAACTTGTTCATCAAAATGACGATAAACAAATTGAACTATAAATAAGTCTCATAATGATGGTTTAAGACATATTACTGATGGAGAATCATGTATGATACATTTTTCAATCATTTGTGAGGACCCATCATAGTTAGAGATGACAATGGGTTGGATCGGACACGGATGTTGAATCAGATACGGATAATGTCAATCGCTACCTAACCTGCAGCAAAAAAAAAATTCACCTGTTACTTATTGGATGTCGTTCTAATATCAGTGGATATTTTAAAACTCGCAGATATTCGTGGACACCCGCGGATATTTAAAAAGAGATATTTTATAAATTTTTAAAATAAAATTACAAGAAAATATAAAATATAATATAAATTAAATTAAATTTAAACTAATAAAATATAAATTATTTTTTTATTAAATTAGCTTAATAAAATATAAATTAAATTTTAATTTTTTATAAGTAATGGATACGTATAAATAATATGATACTCACACTTAATCCTTTTATAAACAGATATTAAAATACTCGTAGGTAATGTAATAAATATCCACGAATATCAAGTATCCACGGTAGATTTTATAGGTGGATATCCACATACACAAGTATTTTTGTCATCCAGCGAAATTGCATATCCCCAAGTAATCACTGGAATATTAACTCTTATAAGCAATGGTTTTACAATAAGTTTTAGACGTTTTATTAATAATTTTGTAACTTCATTTTGAGTATCAACACTTCTAGATTTTCAAATTAAATTCTAATTAACATACAACACTCATAAAAAAACATGTAGATTCACCAACATTATTAGAACAAATTTTCATAATTTGATAATCTAAGAACTGAATTCTTAACTTGATTAACTATGTTAATAACTTTACAAATGTCAATTGATAATAAATAAATATGTTAAAGTGAGTGTCCATCAAGTATTTTTTTCATCATGACCCAACCGATCATACCAAAGAGAATTCATTTTGTTTTATAAACTTCTCAATTATATTAACATACATTTTAATTGTACTTGTTACCTACATAAATGGTGATGATCTTTATAGTTCCTAATTGTTATTGGTTGTTAAAGGTAATGATGACATGAGATTAGAAAATATGACTATCTCGTTATTGAACCCGTTTCAATTAAAATAACAAAAATCATTTTTCACTTTACATTAATAACAATATTGATTTAATAATATAAACCTACCTTTTTGGACATGGACATATGTAAGCAAAATGATGTGACAGAATAATAATTATGTCACTCAATTAACAAAAAGTTGATCAATAAGTATTCAATTGAAAATATAAACATTTTTAGTACTTAATATGTAAATAATTAATAAATAATCAATAAAAAGTACTCAATGATATAAAACTTAATTAAACTATTAATATAAAAAATATATTAAATGGTAATAAATTATTATTGATTATTTCATAATGATGCATTAAATGTAAATATATAGAGAGAGGAGGAAAACTGTTTTTAGTAGTTTTATACACAAAATAAAATTTTCCAATTCTCTTATAAACTTGTTTCAAATTAGATTAAAGAGTGAATTTTAAATCTAATTTTATAAAATTAGAACTGGTAAATGATAATTCGGTCTGATCCACCATGGATTAGTCACTTAATGAGTTAATCCAATCCGATTCACTTAGCAGTGAGTGGAAAAAATTTGAATCCGATTCGGTTCAAGACGGGTTGGTAGATTAAACGGATTGACTCACTTAATTATAAGTTTTTTTTAAATAAAAAAATTATAATTTTTTTAATTCAAATCTAAATAAATTTCTCTCTAAAACGATGTTAAAGCAGATGTGGCATTCTATGTATGTACTAAGCTATTGGGTTGTTTAAATTGGTTAAAATTGGAGTTAGTGTATTGAGTTTATGAGTCTTTGGCCAAATTAGTATTCAATTTAACATTTTAAGCATATTTTGAACCAATCAATAAGTTAGGAATATCATTTTCATCAATTGTGTAGGTTCCTAGTACAATTAGATCACAAATTTCAGGTGTAGACTATCTTGTATAGCGCTAACTTCACTAATGAGTAGACCAAAATATGAATTGTTTGGTGTTGAGCGGAAGCAGAACACCGTTAACCACTAGTTACCATTGCAAGTCTAGAGCTAAATTCATATTTAATTCGCTAAGATTCATTAGACAGACCAAAATGCGAATTATCTAATATTAAGTGAAAATAAGACACCGCTGAACGCTAGTTATCATTGCAAGTCTAGAACTAAATTCATGTTTAATTTGTTCAGTATTTAAGATAAAACAGGTAATGCAAAAAGAATTCATTCAATCAAATACATCATATGATCAAACTATAGCTGTTATCTCTAGAAGATTTCCTGTATAGAATTGGATCCAACAAAATTTGCCACATCATTTGGATGCCAATAACATTTTAACTTACCAAACCATGATTCTACTAACATTCTTAATGACAATGTTAGTTCACATATGTTAGCTAGAAAAATATCATTCGTAATCAATTCTTGTCATAAAAATCTTCATCAACTATTAGATATCTTATTTTATGTGAATTGAGATATCTGATAGAGTTTAAATAATCTTCTTTTAAGTTATTGCATAAGTGGAATGCACACATGCATACACACTTTCATCCACCCATCTATATTCAACCACTCAAATTATATGCACAAAAAAAAATATATATTTTTAAACAAGTTAAAAAAATTGAAGCAACCTTTTATCATAAATGTCTATTTTTATACATTGTATTAGTGAATGTAATTTTAAATGAAAATGAATAAGATATCTATATTTGATACGATCCTGTCCAGGAAAGAGTACGATCTTTTCTGAAAATGTGAAGAAAAAGAAAAGAGAGAAAAAGAAGAGAAAGACAAGAGAGGAGAGAGGAGAAAGAAAATAGAGAGAAAGCAAAGAAAGAAAAAAAGTAAGAGAGAGAAGAGAAAGAAGAGAAAGAAGAAAAAGAAAGAAAAAGAAGAGAACATCATAATTTGTTATTAAAAGAAAATACTAACTGACCTATTTTTGTTTTGTCCCTAGGAAAGATTTGCTTATCAAGGAACCATGACATCAACAAAGGAAGGAAGACATGATGACAGAAAAGGAAGACACAAGCCTAAAACTCAAAGAACTTGTGTTTGATAATCTATTAGCTTGTTTGTCAATTCATTTGGATATTCAAAGTCATTCTCTTAGTATGGAAACAAACTTAGAAATATATGCACATGGGTTAGCTTGTTTGACCATCTCTAAAAAGTTTAAGGATAATCAAAGTCATACTTATAGTTTGATTGTTTACTTGAGAAATATTCATTTGATCTTTTTTGAACATTGTATCTTTAATTTAAAATCATTTGATGATATTTGCAAGTAGGTATTTAACCCTGGAGGCAGACCTCCAAATCTTTGATAATAAGATATTGACCTCTTAAAGGATCCAAATCCCATTTTAATAGATTTCTATTTTGGATTATTTTACATTTATGTTTTTGTTTGTGCATAGGATCTTCTAGAATTCGGCCAAAATTCCGTCTGGGGAGAATGATAAAGAATCTTCAAGTACGAATTTGAGGACAAATCCTTTTCAAGAAGGATAGTATGATAGAGGACTATCTCCTAAAACATATATGAAAAGAACTAGAAGAAGAACATTTACAATTCAAATGATATATGACAAAGTCAAAGATCAAAACACGTCTCTTTGAATCTTGATTCTTATAATCTTTCATAAAGAATGAAATTTAAAGAACATGAAGATCATCAGCACAATTGAAGAATAAATTAGGAAGTTAAATAAATTGTATTTTTATTTTAATGGCAAACAATTTGTTTCTATTTTTCAAGTTATTTTTGGACCAAATGTCATTAGGCTTTCTTTTAGAATTTCTTAGGTACCTTAAACATTTGTACCTATATATAAGGGCACCAAATACATTGCAGACATTTTTGAGTCATAATATATGCATTTGTATTTTTGAGAGAAAATTATCTTTTCTTGGTATAGAACTCTGATTCTTATTAAAGATTAACATCTTTGTGGCGAATATTCCTTGACTTATCAATCTGCTGCTAGATTGTGACGTCTCCATCTCTGTCTTATTATGCGTTTTTCTCTGATTTATTTCAGAAAAAATAGTACTCTTTCATAGACAAAATCGTATCAATATTTAAGTAGAAATCATCTTAAAATATAATGGAAAAATAACTCTTCATACAATCTAATAATTTTAATTATTAAATAAAACACACTTGATATTTAAAGAATACTCTTTTGAATAAAAAATAACACTTGCAAAGAATAGATGGGCAAAATCAACTTAAAAATAGAAAGAATACTTATATTGAGTCATACATTACTTATTATACACACAATATATATATATATATATATATATATATATATATATATATATATATAGTTATATAGTTATATAGTTATATAGTTATATAGTTATAGTTATGAAACGTTTACATATATTTTAAACCACAAGATAGTTCAAAATTCAATTCCTAGGTCAAACTACTGGTCAACCATCATATTAACGACCTTTATAATAAAACCCCTTATATATTTTTTTTCTAACACAAATTCCACCTTAACAAAAAAATCACACCAAAAATCAAATTTCTTAGATATCAGAGCAGTGTCAACAAAAGCTTATTTCTATTTGTTCATTTTCAAAGGAGTATGTTACTAGTTTTGGGTTATTTCTGCAGTGTCAATTTTTCAAAGGTTAACATGATTGTTACTAAAAAAACATCATAACACAATTATTATTTTCCATTTTACATGTCACTGAATTTGGCAAACAATATTTAGTGAGAAATACAAATCTAAGTGGAAGTCAGAGAATAAAAGGCTCCCCTGTTAAGAAGCAATTCGCAGATATCATGGTGTCCCCAAATTTTGGCCATGTACAAAGGGGTAGCACCCCTCTTATTCACAACATTAAGGTTCACACCCTTCTCAACCAATACTTGCACCGTCCCTACATCGCCGCTCTCCACCGCCATATGCAAGGGCACGTGACCTTCCTCGTCTTCACATTCCAAGTCCAAACCTTCTAATTCAACAAGCACCGTCATCACATCCTTGTGCCCTTTAAAAGCCGCAGCATGAAGCGCCGTCAAACCGTACTGATCGCGATACTTCACACTCCCACCACCTTTTCGCAGCAGTGCCTTCACTTCATTCGCCTCTCCGTTCCTCGAAGCCTCGAATATTGCTTCTCCCAGTTCCACCACTTCTTTCTGAACAAAAAAAAAAATGAATATAAGCGTTTTATGTGATGGGCCAAGTAATTTGGGTTGGGCTTTGGCTTCGGCTTTACTTACATTTGTGTTGGCATCTTCTGCCACGTGTACTTCATCGGAGGCGTTGGGGCTGGGGACTATTCTCAAGCCGGCTTCCAGGAGGAGGTGAACCATGTCGTCCGGCTTCAGCAGCTTTGTGGCGGCGCCGAGGAGCGATTCTGCTTCGGCGGGTGACAAATCCGCGAGCATGGAACGCTGTCGTTTGATCAAGTTTCTAACGGCGTCAAGGTCTCCACGCGTGACGGCATCGTTAAGGAGGAGGGGCCCCACGAAAGCAACCTTGAGTTTGATGTCCCGAGTTTTGAATCCGTAGGGGCGAGAGGCGAACCACGAGTTGATGGACTCGGGGTGAGTGGACACGGACGAGTTCGCGGGGAACTCGGCGGTTTTCACGAGGAAGCGGTCTGAGGGGGAGCGAGGGAAGGAGCGAGGGAGATGGGACTGCGGCTTAAGGATGACTTTGAAGGTGGCGAAGGATAAAGGGGGAATGAGTCCACTCGGTGGGTTAACCAGAAACTTTTTTGGCGATGAGGTTTGGATCTTGAAGGCCACTGGTGCGGTTGGGTTTAGAGAGCGAAGCCGCACCGTGGCTCGGCATTTGCAGTCGAGTGCGAACTGTATGCGCACTTCTGCGGGTTCGCACACTTCCACCAGTGCCTCCTCCATCTACCAAAGCTCGATTCTCTGTGCGGGATTGGGATTGGGCTAGGTGGGTGAACGTGAAGTGTAGATGAGCACTGAAAATGAGAGTCACGTGACACTGTGTTGTAAACCTAACGTCCCTCCAGGCGCGTGTCCAATTTCCATTTTACATGGTTTTTCATCTTTTTCTAACGAATTCACCTTCGATGGATAAAAAATGAGAAAAATAGTTGATCATGTGGAGCCCACTCTAACAGCAAGAGTGCGCTAAACAACGTGCTACAGTGTCTCTCCATTGACACGTGTCATAGTCACGCTTTGTAGCACGGAGCACCCTCGGGTAGTCTTTGTTTGCTACATTCGTGGTTAGCATAGGCGTGTTTGTTACTTGCTTGATGCGTTACAACACTATACATTGCATTTTTGGCGGGTAGAAAGTGTAGCACGGCGAAGCGAGTGCATAGGAGTGAGTGTCTCTTGCGAGGTTTGCTTTCAAATTCTTCTTTCTTTGCGTTTCTTAATTTGAGATAAACCGAGTTTTTGCTACTTTGGTGAATACAGTTATGTATGTACATACAGATAGTTGAATTTCTCTTGTATCGAAGATGTTCTACTCTCATCAGCTTCTTGCTCGGAAGGCTCCTCTTGGCCAAATATGGTAACTCCGTTTCCATATATTTCATTCTTCGGCTTCATGTTTCTGCTCTGTATTTGTTATAACTCTGATCGCAACGGTTCTCTGTTTTCTGTTACATCAATTTTTGTCGTCATGCTTGTCCATTTCTTTGTTTGTGTGAAGCGTCTACTAGTGCGACGTTTATATATCTATTCTCTATAAAAATGTGATCATGCAAAACCAGTTACGTCGTTGTTGATTTACGAATGTTTTTGTTGCTGAGTTTTTTTTTTTCTTTTCTATTCATATAACGTTATCAGTGATTATGGATTTCAATTTTGTTTAACATCCGCGTTTTGTTTCTAAAATGAAAAATAAAAATATTAGTCGCTTTTTCTCACTGGTTCTTCATGAAGGATGGCTGCCACTATGCACGCAAAGATAAACCGAAGAAAGCTGGACAAGCTTAACATCATTAAGATCTGGTAATGGTTACTTGCACGCTTATTTTGGTGTAGCCTACAGTTATATACGTTGCCAACTAAAGAAGCTGATATATTGTGTTCTTGTTTCTTGTACTTGTTTTATAGCGAAGAGATTCTGAACCCATCTGTTCCAATGGCTCTTAGACTTTCTGGAATTCTCATGGGTGCTCTCTCGTTGCTATCTTCAGTTTCAATTTCTATTTCAGTTAATGGGTAGAAATTTAGCATATCTCCGCGCCTCTGCTTAATTGTTGTTGCGTTTTTATCAGGAGGAGTGGTGATTGTGTATGAGAGAAAAGTGAAGCTCCTTTATGGTAAACTTTGAATCCGTGTTTTCATGATTAATGTAACATTAGAATATTGAAAGTCCCTTTTCATTGCACAACGATTTTATCAGAATTCTCTACTTTTAGTTTATAATTTTATCTTATTTTTTTCTCGTAGATGACGTGACCCGTTTTCTGGTACGAAGCTCAAGGCATTTCCTGAGAATTCAGTTTTATTTTTTTCCTTTTTTATATTTTTTCCCTATGGGTACAAGGTTGAGATAAACGAAGCATGGAAGGTTAAGACTGTCCCTGATCCTACATTGCTCCCCAAGGCAAAATCCAAGGCCAAGTTAGTCACATTTGTATGCTCTGTTATTCAAGTTACCAGTAATATACTTCCTTTCAGATAAATATGTGACTCAGTAATTTTATTATTTTTTTCAAAGATTTAAGGAAAATATATACTTAAATGGGTTGTCTGTACATCATTAGTTAATATTTAACTCTCCTATGCTCTAAAGTAACTCTTTTTCTCTTTGACAGTAAAGAGGCTGTTACTCTGCCAGGGATCCGTGAGACGAACGTGGCTGATATTGAACAGTCCCTTCAGTTTTCCAACACAGGCACCACAACTGGATTCCAACATAACGCCTATTTCACTATGGTATACGTATCTGGTCTCACTGCATGGAATTAGAAAGGGAAAAGAACTAATCAATAAAATTGATCGCCAATTAGGTTGAGCTAATCCAAACCCTTGTTTATTGCAGCGACTTGATAGCGTGGATGAACCCTTCATTAGTAGTGGAGCAAGAGAGGAACAAGATCCATCTGAATTTCTCCATCAAGGTTGTCTTCCTTGGATTTGCTAAACATATATAAGTAGTTCATGCGAGTATCAATTTGCTCACTCTCATCATTCTCAGCTGACGTAGAGAATATTACCTTATTTGAACGCTTTGAAACATTCCACGCTAATGCGGATCCATACAATCGCTTTGAGAGGTTTGTAGTTTCGATCATCCTTATTTTGTATAGTAGTCTTTAGTTTCTAGCAACAATCCATTTATTTTTTTGGATAACTGTGGCAGGTTTGATATTGAAGGAGATGACGAAACACAGGTAAATGTAACTTCAGGAGATCAAATTCCAACTACGCTTATACCCTCCCCACCTCATCAAGATGAGCCCACCAGAGGTGATTAGGATAACAATCATTTGTTTGTCTGTAAACGTGAAAATTGTAAATAATGTTATAGAAACTTGTATCTTGACGACTAGCTACCGATAATAGTAGTTTTGGCTGTTACTCTAATGTTATTTTAATTTTTAACATTTTGCTTTTAAATTATTGGTAGACTTTCCCTACACCTTAACTGCGTTTTTTATTTTAGTTTCTCAGCATTTCCTTAGTCGGTACCCTACTCATGTAGCTTATGGCACTGGGTTTTTGATGGAAGAATAATGTAACATCTAGACCAAATTGCATCACCTGATCTTTTAGAAGCTTGCATAGTTGAGTATTCCGTATTGAGCTAGGCTACAACTTGAAGTGTACTATAGCTTAAGGTTTGTAAAGGAGTAATGAGTGTCGGATTACTAGTGTTGTACATACAACTTAAGAATTGTAGGGGAATAATGGAGTTTCTGTACTGAATTGTATATACAACTTGTGTATCTCTCAACGTCCTGTTTTACCTTTCCTAAGGGAGAGGAGGTTTAGTCTTTGACAAATGACTATGAAAGATAAGCAATTGCCACTTTTAGTTGGTGGCGTGTAGGTAAAAATTTATTTTGGTATTATAAGTTGACTTGTAAAAGGACATCTTTCGCATAGAAACCGAAGTATTATCATGAAAATTTAGTGATCATGGGATTACATTTCAGCTACATTACCATTTATTGTTATGATAATTCAAGATATAGTTTTTCCCTTATGAGTCAGGCAAATATTAAAAGTGGAAATGACTAAACACTGTCAATATAAAAATTAAAAAAGAAAGAATGAAATTTGTTTGCTGACATATAACTTCTGCAGCTGATATGTTTGAAGACCTTCATCCTGAACAACAGGACATTCAGCAACCTAAGGAAGCCATGACACCCAGACAGGTACGACTACTATTTAAAACTACAATGACCGTTACGACTGATGAGAAAAGAAATGACTAAACTTAGAAGTGCAATGCAACAGGAACCTAGAAGGCGGGGACCAAATAAAAGGAAAAGAGGACATCAATTGGATATCGAAATGGATTATGAGCAAACCATTATTCCTGTTCACATATATCAACACTGGCTTCAGAACGCTTCTGATATTGTCTCGCGAAGGGGAAGAAAGAAACAGGTTTTTTTTTTTTCATTTATTGTTTTCCATATTTGATATTTTAGGAACCAGACAATTTTTTAAGGAAAGATGAATGGGGAGTCCAATATCATAAAAGGAAGAAAAATAATAAATGTGAAGCAGATAAAATTGGAAATCCAATAATATGTTCAACAAAATACTTCCACTATAAACACTACCTTCTCTCTGTTGCAGCAAACTAATGTTTTGTCTTCAACAAAGATAGCCAACCTCATGAAGCTGCCACCTGTTGCGCTCAGTGGTGATTTATTTACAGCTGAAAATAACGATATATATTATCCAGCACCTATTCTTGACTTATGGATTAAGAGCATTCAACCACCCCACGATTCACCTTCAGGTTAGCATAGAGTCCCTCTCTGGGATGTGTCCGGGGAGGGGGCGATTTAAAATGGTATATTAGTTGATCTTAAGAAACTAACCAACCTTTATATGGATTTTAGCTGAAAGTAACAAACTCAATTTTATGCAGAAAGGATTTCAGCCCACCAGCCTCCGGAACCATCATTTTCATCCCCTCCAGGAGTACACAGTAGTGGAGATTTCATGCAATTTGTTAGTCTTAAACTCCATCCTTTGGTTTGCTTTTCTTCATTTTAGGAGGATATGTAGCTTATCTCTGATAAAATGTCCAAATGTGAAGCCTTCTGAAGATTTTGACAGTAGACCAGACTACCAGGCACCTCCAGTAGAGAAGCAGAGGAAAAATGTCCTCATGGATGAACTGACGGCTAGCCTTTTGAGAGGGCATGAATCTACTCCTCATGTCTCATCTGTGAAAGCCGGTAATTTTTATTGATCTGTTTATTGGATCTTTCAATTCTCTAATGGACGTCCCTGTGTAAGGAAATACGACATAATTGTTCTTGGATATGTTTTTCTAGGAGACAGTGCGCATTCCTTTCCAAGACCAGCGTCTGAACATGGTCCTGCCTCACATTCAGACTTTGATTCGGGGAGGTAGTTGGTTCAATTTATAACCTACCGAATATTGTTCGATAACTCATTATAGTTTCAAATGTCCATTTCACCTTGATATCTAAAGGACAAAAAAATATTATAGTTTTGCACATGTTGAGTAAAATTTGTTGTAGTCTGATGCTTCAGAAATATTAACAGATTCAAAAATAAAAGGTATTCTTCATCAGCAAACAGCAGTGGAGGCCTTGAACCACTAGTGGAAGACGTAAATTTCAAGTTAGCTAGGCTGTATGAAGATGGTCCCACACCTGATCAAGGTATATTACTTGTTAAGGCTTTTTCTAACATTGGAAGAGGACCACTTGCAATGGTATATTCTTTATTCACTTATCACACACATCAGTCTCACAAGTTCCTTTTCAGAACTCCTCGTGGAAACAGGACCCACTCAAACTCAAGTAAACATCAATCAACCCAGTGACAAGATAACCGATTCCATCCAAGCGTATGAATCTCTTTAATTAATTATTAACCATAATTACAGATGTAATTTTGGATAATAATAATAATAATAATGCATATTCCTTGTATTTGAACAGACATATGAAGGCACACTTTGACACTCCTGGAGCTCCTCCCGTCGAATCCCTCCATAATCTAGCTGCTGGAATGACACGGACATCAGCAGCACAACTTTTCTATCAAATTTGTGGTATTATTCTTTAGTTCCTTTATCTATCCTAAATTTAAAATAGGTTTAAATACATTCAAATTCTCAGTTTTTATTTTAAGCATTTAATCCTTTTTTAAAATTATTTATCTAATAAATAAATAAAAGTTGATTTGTGTAGTCGATATTATCTCCGTTAATTCTGTTTCACATATGTTTGTATGTCCTTTTAAATTAAATTAAAGGACAATGATATTTTAATAATTGATAATATTTTAACATTATTTATGTGTCATTTTGTTATGGTCCAAAATTACTCTATAATCAATAATAATAATAATAATAATCATAAACACTACAGATAAAGTGTTAAAATGTTTGAAAGGATTATTATCTTGAATTAAAATAGAGAAATGTGATCTTTATACTGTAGAGATATAATATACATTGCGACTTTTATGTTTATTAATAATGTATAAGGATAATCTTTGACTGTCATGATTAAAGGGATTATAAGGGAAATTTAAAAATATTTTAATAATTAATTATAAAAGTTAATAATTGAGTTGGGGCAAAAATACAAAATAAATATAATTTATAGATTTCATCAAAATCTTATAATTTTTTAGATTATCATATGAAGAAAAAATTAATGAAATGTTTGAAATAAAAAATGGTCATATATTAATTTAAATCTTCAAATTAATAGTTTAATGTTATATTCACTACTTAACACCATCATTCAATAATAAAGTAGGTCATTTAAAATAATAATCGTAAACTTTAAAAAAATATAATATAACTATTTATGATTGGATAATAGTATAGATATATTTAAAATGTTAATACACATTTTTCTTTTCCTCTTTAAACAACGGAAAACATTATAACTCCTAAACTTTATTTTCTTTTTTTTCAAATAAATATTCTGAACTTTAATTTTTTTTAATTTGTTATAAAAAAAATTATCTTTTACAAGGCATATTGAATTTAAGTTTTTCTAAATTATCCTTACAGTTTATTGTTTTAATAAATAGACACCTAAATTTTTAATTTTATTAAAAACTTATTATGTTATGGATATTTTTTCTTAAAAAAATTAAATAGTTTATTTTAATCTTAAAAGAATTAACTTCAACATCTTAGAAAAAATTATTTATAAAAAAGTTGAAAAGGTTTAAAGATTAACTATGATAATATTCAAACTTCATTTGTCTATTTAAAAATAGTAAAGTTTAAAAGAATACGTTATAATAAAATTAATTTTCAATACATTTATTTCTTAATAAAACAAAGTTTAAGTATAAGTTAAGATAAAATTAATGTTAAGGTTTCTATTTATTAAAAAGACTAGAGGTTTAAACTCTTTTTTCCTAGAATAGACATTCAAGTTATAGTGCCTAATTAATTCTTTCATGCATAGTTCTTGCTTCCCGCGATGCCCTGAAAGTGGAGCAAAAGGTGCCCTATGGAGAGATTCTCTTCTCTAGAGGATTAAAAATGTGATGAAGTTTTGGTTCCCCTCAGTTATCTATGTTCTTGTAATTTGCTTCTTCTCCTTTGATGTCTTATTACTATTGCAGTTTGTGCTCTTTATCAGCAAGCTGTATTGAAGTTTAATTTAGTTTACAATCATTAGTTACGACATTGCTGTTCTTTTGCTAGGATTACAAACAGGTTCTTCATTCCTATTCTCACTTTTTTCTAAATTTTCTCATGATTGCGAGTGCGGTTATCATCACTTCCAAGTTATTTGATAATTATTTTATCAGTTAGAATATTGTTTAAACAAAATACACAAAATACGTTTTTTTGATGAAACAGGATATTGATAGATTGAGACAATTTTTATATACTTGTTATTTATAGGAGGATGTACCGGAGCGGTTACCTAATATCTTTATCAGATTCATCAGATTGTATTGACTTGAGTTAATAATTTCTTTTAAATATTTGAAAAATTAAATAATTTAAAACGTATGTTATATTAGAAATAAAATTATCAAAATGTACAATATTCTATTTTATTGTGTTATAATTGGTAAGGCGAATTTGATTTATTTACAAAATATATAGATTTTAAATATGTCACACCATATATTTCATCCTTAATGATTCTGCAATCACTCTTCACAATTACAAAAAACGTTACGTTATTAGTTAAAAACTTTACATTAAATGTTAAATTATTTTAATGGAGTCGCTTCTGTATTTCCATTAGAAGTTGGGAAAAAATGAGTTGGGTTAGACTAAGTCACTTCTGAAGAATCTATGGGTGAAACTAGTCGGATGGCAGATATTTACAAAATATATATAAGATTTACCATATTTTAAAAAAGAATAAAATCATTCAAAGTATTTATAACGAATTTTCTAAATATAAATTCAAATAAAACCATAATCTGAATCATAAATTATATAAAAGAAATATATATCAATGAGTATAATACTTTTTGACAGCAATACGCATGATAGAGATTTTAAAAACATATACGCCACAATTATTTTTTTGCTTCTCTTTTCAACTTATACTATAACCTACGGTAGTGTTTGAAGATTTTTTAAATTTTCCTAATATTTGAGGTTTCACGTCACGTGTGAAAGCATTGTGAAAACTGAAGATTTAAAAAGCTTGAGAATAAAATATTTGTAGAAAGGCATAATAAAAAAGAAAGAAGGCACATGCAGCTGTAGGTAGGGTTATGATTATGGGGAACAATGATGATGCATCATGGATAACAGCAACCATTAATAAGCCTTTTTCCATTTATAACCCCCACACTCTCAACGTTTCTTCTCCTTTGCGCATTACCCTCTCACTCCTCTTCACTACCTCCAAAACCCTTTTCCCTTTCCCTAATAACTTCTCATGTGGCCACCGTGGCTTAATTCGCCCAACCGGTTCCGCAACGCTCCACCGCCGTCTCCGTCACCCTCGTCATCGCCCTCGCATTCTCGATCTCGCTCATTAAGCTTCTCCTGTTCATCTTTCAAAGACATTCAGAGCCTCCTCCAAGAAAAGCCGGAATCCGGCCCCGCCGCTCCCAAATCTCCGTCGCTCTTCCGCCGCGTCCGGATCTCCACCGCTGTACTTCGCGCCTGGGGTGCCTCGCGCGCTACCGTCCCCGCTGCTCTTCCGCCCGGCCTTGACCAAGGCGTCGTAGTATACTTCACCAGTCTCCGCGTCGTCCGCCGCACTTTCGACGACTGCCGAGCTGTCCGATCCATCCTCCGTGGCCTCCGCGTCGCCGTCGACGAGCGCGACGTCTCCATCGATGACCGCTTCCGCGACGAACTTCACGCCGTTCTCGGCCGCCGCAGCCTCGCTCTGCCACGCGTCTTCGTCGGCGGTGTATACATCGGCGGCGCCGACGACGTTCGTCAACTTCACGAGAGCGGCGAGCTCCACCGCCTCATTGAACGGCTCCCGCGCTCGAATCAGAACGCTTGCGACTGCTGCGGAGGTTTCAGATTCATAGTGTGCGATGAGTGCAACGGAAGCCACAAAATCTTCACCGAAAAAAACGGATTTCGAAGCTGTCCGTCTTGCAATCTCAACGGCTTGATTCGGTGCCCTGCTTGCTTCTTCGTGCACCCGCGCCACACCAAATAACTTACTTTATCGGTTAGTCACTGCTCACAGTTCACAGACAACTCACGGAAGAAATTAAATTAATAATTTATGTTTATAAATAATGACTTTCTCACTTGCATTTCATCAATGCGACTACATTACATATATTAATGGAAATCGTGTACTCTGAGGATCTACAAATCTGAATAGGGTTACGGCATTATTAACTGTTAATTAATTATTAATAATATTTTGATATTATTATATGGTTTTAAAGCTTATGATATGGGTTTGATTTGTTGTAATGCCACACTTCAACACTAATGAAACACTAATTGTCCACATGGTGCTTGACATGCCGAGTCATGTACTGAGTGACAGCACACAATAGTATCTATGAGAAGTTTCGTTTAGCATGACACCAAATAATCTGAAATTGTTTGTTTGAAATTGTTTGTGTCTGGTGGTGGATGATGCCAAATTTGCTTCAAAGGGTCGAAACTGTTAACGAAGTTTTCGATTCAGTTTTTGTTCTTGTTCATACACAATTATCATTAGGTAGGTCGTGGACAATTGTCTTGGGAGGTGGGAACCGCGTGTGTTGGAACTCGTTTAGGGTCTGGCCCATTCTCCATTTCCCTGTTTTTTTGAGTACTGATTTTGATTGCTTGGCCCACTTCTTTTATAGTGCAAAATGCTCAATTCTCATCTTTTATCACGTTAACATGACCCCAGCTTATCTCATGATCTATATTTTTTTGTCTTTATAATGTAAGGACGAACTATGAGCAAAAAAACGTTTTTTTTAAGAACTGAAATTATATTTTGAAGCGTATTCGTGACTTGTGGGATACATTGTGACCTTACATCAGAATGAAAGTGGGTGGGAAGTTAGGAACTAGGATGACCATTGACTATGTTAATTCAAAACCCTCCTTAGAAGAAAAGTACGTTTGGTGCCATGGCCGTTCTCCGGAAATTGTCATATGTTTATTTTATTCAGTGTTCTATATTCTCTCCAACATGCTACCCATGAAAATACAAAGTTGGATCGAGCAATTGACTTACATTCGATGAAGAACTTTTAGATTTTGTTTTTCACAATGAAGTCAGGAACCACAAGATATCTACCGTTACATTGAAAATTTAACTCTTACTGCTTCTCTAACTAACACGATCTCAACGCTATATTTTGGGTTAACTTTTTTGAAATCCTAAACTTTAGCTTGATCTCAACGCTATATTTTGGGTTAACTTTTTTGAAATCCTAAACTTTTGTAATGTGCCTTGTCAGCTTAGCGGTGGATATGAAGCTTACGAGAGTATTTAACGCAATTGAATTATTCTCTTTCCAAATCTGTATACACTCTATCACAACGTGGAATTGGAAAGCCCAAAAAATCTCCACACCTCATGCCAATTTTTCACATTACTTAAAAATAACGCTTGGAAACTTGCTTCTTGCACCCTTAACAGGCATGCCTGGATCTTTAAATATGTTTTCAGATAAAATGTTAAAATTGGTGGGTGTCTAGATCTTAAAGTTCAAACTTGTTCTTTGCACCTTAATATGCATATCCTTTCTGTAGTCGATACATTCTTGTCACATGATTCATGACCTCTCAAGTTTTTTAATTCATTCAATACCTAAGTCTGAATTTGCCAACTTAGTCTCTTCACTAGTTCTTGGGAACTGAAATACTCTCAGTAACTTATGACTTTCATCTGTCCCAAGTCACAACTAGACATTCCTATCCTTAGCTAAGTGTTAATTGCAAGCGGAGGCCATTTGTGGGTTGCTCCAGTGCCAAACTTAAATATATGTTCTTAATTAACGCAACACAGATGAAATTGCAATTTGAAGATCTTTGTGTTTCATTTATCTCTTCCTCAATGTCATTGTCCATGTGCATTAGTCTAGTTTTTCCTCCGCAATAACCACGGTGAATTGGATTATCGTTATGTGATATTTCCCCCTAATCTGCTTATTATAGAGCGAATAAGGAAACTCAATGTATGTGCAAAGAATACGATGACACACCTCAAATATTGCCAATATCAATGGAGAGTCTTTGAATATTCAAAGGAATTAAATGCAGCAAATCAATATAAAAAATTTACTGGATTATTAAATATAACAATAAAGGAAATTTTTCAGCACAAATCACCTATGAAAATAAGGAAACTTGGACAGCAAAATGCCTATTAAAAAATGATTTTACTAATCTATGTACCATATACATAGAATTAAATATCTTAAGTGTCTTTTTTTAATGGACCAAAATATTAAAATATGATAAATATTTAGTTGATATTCTATTGTAATTAATATTGATTTTAATTTGGTGGTGTACATCCCATTTTCAATATATTACTTTTTTTTTCCTTAAGAGTGTTCTTATTGGAAGATGAATTTGAGAAAGAATGTGTAAATGAATTTGAGGAATTTAAAAGTAAGTTGATTTTCGTTTTTGTTTTAAAAGAGTTGAAAGCAAGTATTGATTTTCGTTTTTGTTTTAAAAAAGTTGAAAGTGAGTTTGAGTGAATTTGAAGTAAAATTAGAGGAAATTAATATAAGATTTAATAATATAAGAAAAATATTTAATTAGTAAAATTGAAGATTATCTTTTAATTGTAAAAATAATATAAAATGATATTTATTAATAATATATTTAATAAATATTTTAATTAATAGAAAAAAAATAGAAATTTAAAAAATATTAAAATAATATTTTATTTAAGTAAGATCAAATTATTTTGTTTAAACTTTAATTTTTTAATAATATAATTTAGTGAATGTATTTTTGTTGCGTAGAAAGGGAGTTGTTCTTTTCATTTTTGTTCATTGGATTCTTAAAATTCATCAAACACTGCTTTTTGGAATCGAATATCTCTATTTAGAATGGATTTCAGAAGGTTATGTTTTCATATATATAAAATTGGAAATTATCAAATTACTAGAGGGTAAAAATGAAATTTCGTATTAAACTCTTTTAAATGTTCGTATATTACTGGGTGATAAAAAAAAGCATTTATCCTACAAATTTATGCATTTCATTGCTTAATTACCTCTGGAAGCAGTCTAAATTTTCCACCATTCCGTTTATCACAATGATTATTTAAAAATTATCAATAACTTAACTTTTTCATCAATTTCCATTTTGAAAAGGCCTTATGATATTGATCTTCGTGTGAATATAAGGTTCATGAAGTAAAACAAAAAAACTTACAAAAAATCTTAAAATGTTAAACTTAATAAGTTAAATTTGAAATATAAATGAAAATAGTTGTTGTATTAATCATTATTGAAAAATAAAGTCGTGACGTAATATTTTATCAATTGTTTTAATGACATTCACTATTTTAAATATTGACAATCGATAGAAAATAAAGATTATTAAATTATCATATTAGTAATATAAAATAATATTTTTAAATAATGTATTTTTTGAAAATAATAGAAATAAAATAATTTTTTAGTAATGTATTCATAATATGGTATATTCTTTGTAACGTTAATATTACTAATATTATTTAATATAATAATTATTATTATAACTTATTTATTTTAATAATTACTTTCACCGTTAATTGAAGTTCACCAAAACAAAACACATGGAATTTGATAAAACTAGTTTTTAAACCATATACCTTACTTATATTTCTTCTACATAAAGGGTTTTTTCTTTCATATACCCTTAAATATCACTCATATACAGAATAAAAAAAATTACAAATTTCTCTAATAGTCTTGCGTCGCTTTTAAATTCCTCAAAACGAATACAATTGTAAACGCAAATCAGTCTTTGCATTTTTTTCATGTTACTCTCAAACAAACACACTTTAAATTTATCAATAATTTTTGTTACATAAAAGTTTATTAAAATAAAATAAATTGTATAAAGTATGGAGGCCACACCAAACTTATAATAAAAATATTTTATTAAATATAAACAACTATATTTATTAGAAAAAAAAAATCTAAATAAATACATAAAAAATAAAGTACTTATATTATTCTTCATCAATAAAAGTTTAATTAACTAACTTAACATATAATAATTTCTTAAAAACATATGAAAAACATATAATAATTTCTTAAAAAAGTATGAAAAACTTTCAACTTTCTACCCTCGTGTAATAATTCGTATACATCATTCAATCATTTATGGTTACTTACACTAAACATATACCAGAAAATAAAATATTTATTTGAAATAAGTAACTAGTTATTTTATATAAAAAAAAAGTTAAAAAACTTACATCATTTATAAGTGAATAAGGATAATATTTAATTATTTTATCCCTGACGCAGGTTCTCTTACGTCTTGTTTATTCATGATTCAATACTCATAAATTATTAGTATTGTTTCTTCTTATATTAATTTTAAAAAAATATATTACTTCAAAAAGAAGTTGGAGATAGTAAATAATTTGTGTATTAAATCTCAAACGAGAAACTAAGGCTAACTCAATACAACAATATATTTAAGCATCTAATTAATCACATATCCAACATAGAAAAAAAAATAAACAGCATACTTTAAAATAATAGACTCATATTAAAAATAATATTTTAAGATAATAATAGGAACCTTAGAGCGTGAAAGACAAGAAACAATAGAGAATGATGCAATAGAACCCACGTTTCGGAGAGCTACTTTTACAAGACAATCAATTAAAAGTTATTCAGATGGTTTAGACAATTCTTTCAACATCAATACAACATTCCAAGTGAGATAGGCCACCACATACAATTATTTTTTTTATCTTTACATCTTAACAAAAGTTAACAACATATTCATCCCAGACATCATATTTATCTTTGCTCCTAAATGTCATACTCATCTCAGACATCATATTAATCTTTGTTCCTAAACCATCAATAATGCAAAACAAAACAAAAAAGCAAAGCAACAATGAACTCAGCAGAGCAACAACAAACAGAGGAAAGCAAAAAGAAAAGAGCAAGACACGAGCAAAGCATAAAAATGCAAACATAAAATTAGAAAGAAGAAACAAAGAGAATCACGCTACCATTACGANACATATCCAACATAGAAAAAAAAATAAACAGCATACTTTAAAATAATAGACTCATATTAAAAATAATATTTTAAGATAATAATAGGAACCTTAGAGCGTGAAAGACAAGAAACAATAGAGAATGATGCAATAGAACCCACGTTTCGGAGAGCTACTTTTACAAGACAATCAATTAAAAGTTATTCAGATGGTTTAGACAATTCTTTCAACATCAATACAACATTCCAAGTGAGATAGGCCACCACATACAATTATTTTTTTTATCTTTACATCTTAACAAAAGTTAACAACATATTCATCCCAGACATCATATTTATCTTTGCTCCTAAATGTCATACTCATCTCAGACATCATATTAATCTTTGTTCCTAAACCATCAATAATGCAAAACAAAACAAAAAAGCAAAGCAACAATGAACTCAGCAGAGCAACAACAAACAGAGGAAAGCAAAAAGAAAAGAGCAAGACACGAGCAAAGCATAAAAATGCAAACATAAAATTAGAAAGAAGAAACAAAGAGAATCACGCTACCATTACGACAAAGACAACAAATGATGAAAGCAACAAGGTGAAACACGCACTGAGCAACACGGTAAAGAACAAAATGTATGATGACAAAAGTGCATGAAATTAGTATTTGAAATAACCTATGCCATATGTATTGTTCATAAAAACACAAATAAAAAAAAGAGTTGTATCCAAC